CACAGAAACAGTTCTCATCTTCAGAACTCAACCTAACTTAAAAGTGCAATTCCTACTGCGACTGATGTCTGCAGCACAACAGGTGCTCATATACACCTCCACTTTATCAGGAGAAGCCACTTCAGTCCGAGCTGCCAAACCCACCCCTCTCTGCAGCTGACTGGAGTTCAAAAGCAGCACAGCCACGGCATCAGAAGCATCAGCTCAGGCACTGCTCACAGCCCCAGGTGTATACTTGAAGTTCACTTCAACTCTGAAAGAAATAGCTGCACTCTTGACATTATTTCTCCCCCATCTGTGGGAGCATTCCACATCAGCTCTCCTCGGAAATGGGGGAAGGTTCACAGAAGGTAACTGTTGCCCTCAAAGTGCTGCGGGTGAAACATCAACCCAAGGAAGCGGAACAGGCGTTTCATTTCCGATCTCAGCACAGCAGCTTCTCGTGGCAGCAGCACTGAGAAATGCAGGCAGGAGATGTTTGTGGCAGGGCAGGTGTGCCCCAGCTCAGCAGAGCTCTGGCAGAAACACGTGCCATGTGCTACAGGAGTTTTTGTGAAGGGTTACTGAATTACCCAGGTGAGCTCTGGTTTCTCTGGTTTTCCATTTTTATTCAGCGTAAGTCATGCATTTAAAGAAAATATAAAATTTAATTAGCTAGCTCAGAAAGTTTAACTAAAGGACACAATCCAAAAGAGATGAAATCTAGCTAAATGCAGCTCCCTGCAGCCGGTGAGCCTTTATATATAGCATCCATTCCTGGCAGCAGTCATAAAACAGGAAACTGAGAAGTTTTAGGTCTCGGAATTGTGTTTGTAATTTGATGAGACATTTCCTTTGAGAGGATAATGTGAAACAGAAGTCACGAAAGAAGAACAGTCTCCTTTGTGCCCCCCCACAGCTTACATCACTATTTGTACAAATTCCTCACACATTACTCCTTTGGATTCCTGCTCTGAGAAAGCATTTTCCCTTTTCCAAAAAAAGCCTCCGACAGCTTCATAAAGGGTTAAAGATCAAGTAGGAAGAAAAAAATCTCATTTAAGAATGCATCAGCGCAAGTGAAACCGAAAGAGACTGTGCACACAGGATGGCTGAGCAGCTACACGGTAACTTGCCAGCGTGGACGGAAAGCTAGAATTCTGGTTTGGTAAACACAGTCACTGCCTCCACTCAGCCTGGATAAAGCCAGTTGTACAAGAAGTGCTGGGAATAAAAGGAGATTTAATCTCCAGTGATTTAGGGATGATGAAAGTTGAAATGCTCCGAGAGGCACTCAGATGCTTCAGGAATACTATATTCTGTAATTACTTCCCAAGTACAAAAAAAAAAGCCACAGCAAAAAGCCCCGCTCGTTTCCAAGTCACCCCCTCTTTGCTTCCAAAACCAGCCTGTGGTTCATTCTGTACAAGCACAAAGGAAACCCAGGAGCCCATCGGATGAGAGAAGAGGAGTAGGGGTGCTGGGCGCCCACCGAGCGCACCCAGCGCTCCCACAGCACCCAGCGCTCCCACAGCACCCAGCGCTCCCACAGCACCCAGCGCTCGGCACGCAGCCCGCTCCCAGCACCCAGCGCGCAGGCAGGCTGCGCACGCAGCCCCAGGCAGGGCCCAGCCTCCCCGCAGCGCCGCCGTCCAGCCAGCTGTTACCAAGTGAGCGCGCAGCCAATCCCCGGCCCCGGCGAGCACAAGATGGCCTTTGAACTCCCCACCAGCAACTTCCTGCTGTTTTTAGAGTACACACAGTGCAATGCAGTATGTCTGTCAGCTATGCGGCACAAAGGAACAGCCATTTTGTGACTCGACCGGACCCGCACCAAAATGCCAGGCAGTGCGGCCTTCCCCTCGCCCTTCACGGGGTATCGCTGCCTTTCCTGTGCCGCAGAAGAGGAAGAGCTGCCCCGCGCTCCCCTTGACAGAGGCACAGCCGTTTCTGCTCGGCAGCCTTGTCCCCCCACCCCCCGCACAAAGTCCTCTGTCTGGAACTACATCTTCATAAAATGGCTGCCGAGGAGCAGCGAGCCGTTCTGGGCCGAGCACACAGCACAGCCTGCAGCACCCTGCCCAGAGAGCCACTGCCGAGCCAGAGCCGCTGCTCTGAACAACACAGCCTCAGGCCCACCCTGCTGTAACGCTTTTTTTTTTTTCTTTCTTTTTTTCCTCCAAAATGGCGAGAAGCAGAGACCTAAATGCAATGGGCTGTTCAGCCCTGCAGCCTTCGTAACAAATTCCCTGCACACAGAGATGTAAGAGCCACTGCAACAAAGGCAGGGAGCGAGCCAAGGGAAACCAAGATGGTGGCTGTGTGCTGTGTACTATCCCTGCACCACTCCAGGGGTCACAGGACCCCCACCTGCATTGCACTGCTGCAGTTCACATCAGGGTTGCACTGAACATGTCCAGCACAAGCACCCACCTTTCAAAAAGGGTAAAACGAAGGATGCTGGGAAGCACCAGGGCTGTGTTTGCCTACATGCAATTCATGCCCCCAACACACAGGTGGTGATTATTAGAAGCTGTAGCATCCCACCTCACCCACGTGGAGGACGTGGCCCAGAATTTATCAGTTGAGAGAGGGCAGGCCCAGCACTGTGGGCAGAGGGGACACGAGGGCAGGTGTGGCTGCTCCCCCAGAGGCACCACCACAGCACTCCTTCAGCTCACAGACTGGGGCATCGGCATCATTTTGTCTCCAACAACGATCACCTGCTCCAGGACAATCCTCAGAGGGATTCTGGTTTGTTCATACAGCTTTTCACTTCCTTAGGACTGGCAATGCAGGTGTCAATTCCAAATACTCCCCAGGCCGTGCACTGAAGGAGCACAGAAGTATTATATTTTCTTCTCCTTTAACATCTTTTTCCTAGTCCTGTATTTTGGCAACTCCAGCTCAAGTGGCAGTGCTTGTATCCACTTTGTCCACCCACTGCCACCATCCACACCTCCGATCCAGGACTACAGACCAGGACTTCACAAATGTACACATTCTCACAACTCAGGAAAACAAACAGGCCAGCAGCATTTGAGGTGCAGACACGAGTGCAGCTCTGGGCTGCAGTAAAGCAAAGTGGTGGCTTTACTTCCTAGAAATCATTTCCCCTGCAACTTCAAGTCAACCTCAGGAAGTAAAGCCCATTTTACGACATTCAGCTGACTCACAGCTCAGAAGCCAGCTCGACAGGGCTCACTCACAAACAGCCCGTGTTCAATTGTTCCCACACCTCAGGTGAGGGGATGTTACCCACAACAAGTTTATTTAGGGAAGAACAGTGGAAGAGGCAGGGTAACCTCACAACAGGTGTTGCGTATAAATCAATCGAGATAAACAACCTTTCAAAGAAATCAGCAAAATCACACATGTGAGACTATGCAAATATAATCACCCCGAGGACAAAAACACAAAGGTCTTCTTTCTGTGCAGCTACTGCTAGATGTCTCTGTTTTCACCTCGTATTCAACACAGTATTTCTGGCAGATATGCTACCTTAATTTTGATTTCCTGAGCAAATTACACCTACTAGTGCTTTAGCTGTCAATCCACACTTAAAACAACCAGAAAAACAAATTCTCTCTTTTTTTTTTTTTAAATAAGACTTCTAAAGCAATATCAGCAGTATTTCTAACAACGTGAATATTAAGGTTTGAAAATCTGACTTATTTTTAGATTGCATTACTGTAACATCACTGTATAGGTGCTATATATAGTGTTTCAACATCCCTGAAGCTAGTGTTATTAATAATCATTTTAAACTTACCCACATCCATTTTAGGATTTAAAATTTGACTGTAGTCTTAATACATCTCAAATCCCATAAATATATTTTAGAATGCCACAGCATTTCGATAATATTCCCACAGTATTTCAAATGTGTGTTTAAGGTTAAATAATGGACATCAAAAATACCAGTCAAACACCTGCAAACATCACATAAGAGTACATGTGATACCACAAACTGTTCAGAATTTTTTTTATTAGTGTGACTTAAAAATTACTTAACACCGAAGGAAAAATAACAAACAGGCCAGAATTCCATCAAAATTAACAAAAGGCAAAATTCGGCGTATTTACAAACCAGAAGACAAAATGCATGTAAATTAATTTCCCTTTTTTTTTTTTTTTTTAAAGTCGACCCATTAAATATAAAAATGAGCAATTGGTAATTATACTCGTGCATTCTTAACAAACCAACACTGTCAGTATTCCATACTTTTCCTACATCGAGGATCAGTTTATAAAAATCTGTAAAGAATCTAATTACTCCACAAAATAAATAAAAATACTCCGAGCAATAATACATTAAATAAACAGACAATGCATTTGCAGCCTCTTGTTAGCAGCCCCAGTTTATATTTTATAATACAAAACGCTACGACCATAGGAGAAAAGTTTAGTATAAATTGTATGAAAATATTCTAAAATATCAAAACAGCATCAAAGTTCCACAAGCTCAAATAAAAAATGAAGTAAGGGCTATCGGACAGAAAGGCACTTTTCAGTTTATATTTTAAAATGAGCTTTTTTTCATTCATGCAACTTTTTCTCGTGTCTATTTACTATAATTTACTACTACACCAGGCTTCTGTATGGCCCTCAGTTAAAGTTTAGACTTCTGAGATTCTTCAAAGAAAAATTTGCCTTGTATGTAAAATGGTGCAATGCAGCAATGGCTAAACCGACAAGGTCATTTTTCACAGCACAAAAAACCTAAAAACTGAAATTCAAAAGCTGGAAAAACATCATACAGAGGAAAGGGCTCCCCTGAATAAAGGTACAGTACCTTTTGACTATGACATGGGCCCTTAAGTCACAACACAACTTTCAGAAATTGCTACCAAAAAAATTAGGGTGTGGCATGCTAACAATCTCAAGGTCATTCCTTAAAAAGGAAACAAAAATTAGTAAAATGTTTTGTATTAAGCACTGACAGTAACCCAAGGCTGTCAAAGTAAACAGGGTATTCACAGGTTTTACAAAAAAAAAAAAAGAAAGTTGATAGATCATACCTCGATGCATTGCTGTGGACTGAACCCTCCTCTCCTTGGCTTTTGTCCTTATTTCTCATCATCTTTTTATTCTTAAATAATAAGAGGGGGTCAGGGATGTCTGCTTGCTTTGAAGTCCTGTGCCCAGGTATTTACTGTCAAAAGTTGAAAGAAAGGTAAGGTCCCAGCTCGTTTCACTGGCTTTCATTATCAGGAACAAAGTCCTGACGCTGCAATGATATTGTTATAACAATACACAAAACTGATCGACACAGCAAAACGGTGATTTAAAACAAATAATCATTTTTTAGAGAAAAAAATACGGGGGAATAAACATCGAAGAGGAGCATCCTGCAAACTTTCCCAAAGTAACACTGGATGCAAATAATCTCTATCTTATTGCGTCATCCGAATACAGCCCAGATCGGTCGAAAATCAAAGTACTCAAAACGGCAGAAATCTAAAAATTATTATTATTAATTGCTCACCTACCTGATCCATGCACCGCCGCCAGGACCAAGTCGATCTTAGTTTCGGGTCGTGGAAAAACATTAGATCCAAAATATTTAGAGTTCGAATGATAAAATATGAAATTCAGAAAAAGAAAAAATATATATATTCTAATCCCAAAAATATGCTGTCGGTAAAGCAAAAGAAACGATAATTAGTACAAAAATGTCCGGGGGAAAAAGCTCATTAGGAGAGCGCACAAAAATGGAGGTACGCCATGGCTTCTAAGCTGGAAAAACAACGACCTGGGCTCTCTCCACGGCTTCTTCTTTCCAGCAAGGCACGAAAAGGGAGCCCTCAAAAGCTGCTTTTCTGCCCGAAAAAGGTCCGCTCGGCCCCCTATTAGTGCCTAGGAGAGGCAAGGGGCTGTGGGGGCCCCCTGAGGCTGCCCGAAAGTTAGGGAAAGTTGCGTAAAGTGTTGGGGAAGGCACGGAGCTGAGCGCGCTCTCTCTAAGGCACAGCCGCCATCTAGAGCTCCTTCCCAGCTCTGAGCTCTGCCTTTGATTGACACTCTCTACATTTACCCCACAACTCAGGTGATGTACCATAGACCCACCCCTTCATTTCTACCAAAAAAAGAGATAGCCTCCACCTAAAGGGTGCCTGCTACCCCCCACAGCCCTGGCTCCTTCCAACTACCCCAGCAGAAGGGGCACCTTAACCCCCTGTGGCTCAGCCACCCTTTTGAAACCAGAAAGAAACGTAATTTGTTCCTTTTGTTTTAAAGATTTGCTAAATATTTCAGTGCATGGGCTAAAATTACTTCCTCCCTGGACAGGAAGTGCTGCTGCTACAAGCCATTTTGAAAGAATGGCAGTGGAGCTCACAGCCATGCAGCCAGCAACAGCCCACCTTGGGGGTCACCCCACCCGGGGGGGCATTTATTTTTAAGTTAAGTCATAGTACCCCCAGACAAAAGCTCTTCTTTTTGTCATCCAATACTTGCACATAGTGCTTGGGACAGAAGTGCCATGAGCTCCTGAAAAAGCCCCACAGTGCTACCAACCCCTTCCAGCTCAACAGCGCCTCCCTAGTGGTCTGCCCCAGCAACACAAACCCAACAGCTACAGCAACTGCATCAGCGATGTGAAGGCACTGCTGTAGAGTAAGTCTCACACCATTAAATGAATTATTTCTCATTTCCATTCTTAATTCATTAATATTTGCCAGGAGATTTTAAACAAAAGAATTCAAAGCCGCGAAACAGCCAAGATGCATATTCAGAAATCAAGCCACATCTACAGTCCAACATCTGGGGCACTGAGAAGACATATCACAGAGGAGATGGAGAAGAACCAAGCATCCCCAGCCTCTTGCATCCTGCCCACCATTTGTTTCCCCACAAGCAGGAGACAACTTAAATCACAAGGAACTCTTCCATATTTGTAGCCATCACGACCAGAGATGGAATCAGCCATTGGGTAACTGATGGAGGGGAAGAGGGCAAGTTCCGATGTCTACAAGGACTGTCTGCAGCACAGCATCCCAACAGCTTGGAAACGCTGGCTTCCACCAATAAACTGAACCAATAAACTTCCTTTGAACTCCACACACTTGCTGTCCATTTCTGCCAACAACCTATCGTATCTCCAAACCAAGAGGAACAATAAGGTACGCTCTGCTGTCAGCATCCACTTCACTGAACGTCAGTTTACCAACAATTTACAGAAGACCCCTTAACACCTAAGCTAGAACCAAGGAGTACAACAAAATTGCAACCGCTTTTGGTTAACGGTAAGGAAAATCCACTCATCTGAATGTGGATCCTAAGTTGGTCCCAACATCCAACACCACCTCATAAAGCATGGCAAAAGCAAACTTCAACAGGCAAGCGTACATCAAAATAGCTGGATCAAACAAGCATGAACAATTCATTATGGTAAAAATGGATATTTCCAAAGAAGCCCAAAGGAGCAAAATCACTGAATATCCCATTTCTTTCTTTTCTTTTTCTTTAAACAAACAAAAACAACAACAACCACCTCCATTGCTTAAGTCCTCAGAATGAGATTTGTCTTACACATGAAGACCAAACTGACACAGACAACCATGAATTTCAAGTGAAACGTACTTGAAATATAGTTCAATTATTTCATTCACAAAAAATCTGGTATTTTTTTTTAACGTAAGAACCACCTTCAAATTCATTTGAAAAAGCAACCATCATCTGCAGCAGTAAGAAAATTAACACAGCTTTCCTCATCAAATACATGGTACAGAGTCAGGAAGCTATGCCCACACTAAATAGCAGTGAAACAGATTAGGTACACGTACAGAACAATTTTAGGAAAATAAGACTGTTTAGGAAGTATGTTGTCCAGGAAGTCTGGTAACAGTTTCTGTACACACACACACACACGACTGAACAAGCACATCTTACAAACCTACAGAAAACATTTAAGTACTCCTTTATTATAACACATTTGCCCAGCTTTCAGTACGATACCGATTCCACCTTAAAATAACTTCAGAAAGTTTAGCAGAAGCACCCTGACAACACACCCAAGATTAGAAAAAGTGCCCAACATTAAGCACCTGAATGAGCAAACCAGAATAAATATTCATTAGAAGTCATATCAAAGTAAAGATAATTTGTAAATGAAAACCACATTTTAAACATTAAGAACATAAAAAAAAATTTACCTTGCCTTTAGTGTTTGGCAGTTAAGTATTTCTCACTTTCATAGCAACCAAAAATATAACACACTTAAATATCAACATGACCAAGAAAAGATTCAGCCAGAAAGGACAAACACGAAGCATGAAAGAAACCAAAACCTTTTATTAAGTCACTTTAAAAAAAAGTACATTTTATCCAATGGGATAGTAACAGATTTCTTAGCAAAATGTTTTCCCTCTTACACATAAATTATCTGAGAATAAAATTTTACCACCCAATCCTCAAACAGATCCATCAATGGATAACCACTGACACAGTCCCCTGATCAATTCAAGTGCAAAGTCCATTTTGATTGGATGATCACAACCCAGATCTTCTCTGGTTTAAAAAACACAGGAGTCCACGTTTTAACGTCCTTCTCTTGGACAGAAATATCACAGCACTCATGCATTAGTCCACTTCCTCAACCTCTCAATCAAGAGTGGAACTGCCATCTTGTTCTCATTCGTAGACTCCTTTTGACATTCTTCATCTTACTGGATTCTTAATGGAAAATTAAAAGAAAAACGCTGTTGGAATACAGATCATCTTATCTTTAAACTAAGACATTCAACAACTGTACCTTAGAATATTCTTCATTCCATATCATGCAACCAAAAATATCTACTTTTATCACCAACTATGAAGGTCATCAGTTCAAAAGTCAAAAATACGAACTTTAATCCAAACTGTAAAGAAGTAGAGGAGGAATGATTTCAACTTCAAGAACCTTTTCAGGCCCCATAAGCTCCATTTAATTTTTTTCCTATAGCATTAAAACACTAGATAAATAAATCAATAGTAGGAAACGTGAGATATTTGCCCTGGAAACCATCTTTATTGGTCTGACCCATCAACTAAAGCTGACACTGCTTAGAAAAGCCAATTTAATTATAATTAACCCAAAAATTTTTAACCGCTGTCCACTCTCCTTTCTTCTAATACAGTGATCCATCAAAACCAACACAAACGTATGAAAACTGGCTTCCTATATAAAGACAATGACTGGAAACAAGACATTCTTGAAATTACACCATCATAATCTAGTTTTCTAGCTTATGGAAGACATACAGTTCAACAACAAAAAAAAACACTTATAAACAAACAGGATGGCTGATCTGGTTACTACTGAGAAGAAACATGTCAGAAAGCAGATGAATATGGTCACAAGTCAGATTAGTTGCTTTAGCAAAGCCACCATACTACTCCTGAGCCATATTCCAACTTCACTTTCATATAACAACAATCTAGCCCACAGGTGATTACAAAAACCGAACTTCTCAAATGAATTCTATGTGGATAAACAAAAATCAAATGTCTCCATCCTTACGTTTTCTTCCAAGAATAACAAGCTTGGGAACTTCAAGGAAACTACTCATGCTCCCAACACTCAAACATCAAGTACAGGAAGTTACTCTATGGTCAAAATATCATTTTAAAACGAACATAGACCACAGGGGATGAGATTGAAACACAATAAAGATTTTATAATGGGTTCATGATTTTGAGTACCTGCACTCTAACAATATATTCATATACTTATTTTGTTCTGAATGTGCACAGCTTTAATCTCATTTTAGTCTGAAAGCTAACTCCACCCCTATGCTGCTCCTGTGAGAGTCCTGGGCACATTCTCTGAAGGGATACAGAAATTACCCTCAGTACAGCAAGAATCAGTGGAGCCATCTAGTGGCCCCCCATTATCCAAGTTTCTCCATTCTCATCTCAAAATTACCAGTAAAAGCAAAGTAAATAGTGATGGAACCAGTGCAGCAAGCCTCCACCTGACTTCCGTAATCACCTATGGGCCTTATGCTTCATTCCTCTGTAGATAAGTTTATTCCTTGTTTTAAACACAATGAAAAAGCAGCACAGCACATAGAAGTGGAATGCAGAATCTCATCATCCACTCTCCTTAATAAACACTGTGTATCATTTGCACTACTAATAGTATTTAGTCATGAGATCTTTGATTTCTGCTTCTGAAAACGTATGTATTTGCCTAAGTTCTTTGTTTCAAGCATTCAATTCATCCTCATTTAGGACAAATTAAATATCTGGAAGGGTTTCATTTCATTGCTAACCTAAAAAAACAGTTTGTGGGTTGGTTGATTGGTTTGAATGATTGTTTTATACACTAGCCTAATTTCAAACTCATTCAGCCATTTGAAAATAAAGTAATACTTTGGGTATTTTTAACAATAATGTTCCAACGTACCAAAACATGTTTGAGGGAAAAAAAGTCACTGACAGAAATTTGTACATTATTGTTATGATCAAATATTCAGAAGCATTAAAGGAACGCATTGGAAGCCCTACAAATAATATCTTTAGTTTTATTTATTTCAAGAAATAAGTGGATTTAATTACTGATAATAGTTTTCCCCACTTCTCAAAAATCTATTTTAGTTATATATCACTCAACCTTGAAAGGCCCTTTTCAGTTGAATTAGCTTTCTGCCTTTGACACTAATGAGATCTGCCAAGAAACATTTAAGGGCAAATTTCTTCACTAGGTTCACCTACGTTTGGTTGTACAAAAAACTTTCCAAGTAACCCTGTCACATTCACTTCACACACTTCTTTTGACCTTGCAAAATAATTAGCTGTAAACAGAACTGTTAGCATAATTAAAAAAATGCTGGAACGGCTACTGGCTTGGAAGAGGTTGTTCATACATCAAGAAGATGCCACAGTAATGGCTAAAGCCTTAAGAGCAATCAATATGCTTCACGTGAAACTTACTTCTTCGTTAAATGACTTCACAGTACTTGTACGCTTACAAGTTGTCTTTACGAAAAAGATGGCTAAGAAATTTCAGCAGCATTGCTGAAGTATACTCCTCCACTAAGACACATGCACTGATCTTGCGTTTCCCATAACCATGGAATAGCTACCTTCCTGCAGAAAACATGAATACTTAATTCCTTCTGTAACATCAGTTAGACAATAGCCCCATTTTTTCAATTTCTATTACCTACTATTTGATGTATTTGTTTCCATATCCAGTGTAATGGCCAAAATAAAGAAAAGGACCTGGGTAGTCCATGTAATACTGTTTCCCTCAAACTGGTAACCACTGGTAACATATTGACCAGTCTGGCTAACTGATAACATTTTTGAAACCTTTGTGTTTACAAAGCTTTTGCTTCAGATAATTACTTATGTGATACTGTATCTACTCAGAAACCATAACAGCAACAGGTATCCCTTACTGCCGAAACTGCGGTCTCATTTTTTCTGTCAGCTGAAAGCCTTTATTTCTGAAGTATTGAGATTGAAGATCAATTACAAGATATAAAACAGCCATGTACCAGTGCAAGTGTGTAAGACACCACCACAGTTACAAGTTCTTCAGACTGAAGTCTCTCAGTCCAAGGCTTGTATACAAGATTAGAAATTAGATTGCTGAAGAAATGGACTCCAACAGAGGGAGCTGAATGGACAGAAGGAGGTTCTGGCAGATGAAACCTCAAGTTTTGTACTTCAAAGCTGATTAAAAATTTTTCTTTCAAGAGTCATTAAAGATTTTGAAAATACTTCTGTTAACTTTTACACTAGAAGAAAAAGCAGATGTGCCTTCTGTTGACATTAAGAGCCTCCAAGTAAGTAACTAGGTGCTCTGGGCAGACCTAAGTCCCCTTTCACATTACTGCACGTTCAAGTAAGCACAGCAGTGAAAAAACAACTCGTGTGGGATCAGGGATTTATAGCTGAGAAAAGCAGTTTTCCAGTTTTTTCAGATTTAAAGATTTAAGATGTGACCAAGGACAGACTTCATGCATAGATGCACTTTACAACTGTATTATTTTCAAAACCAACCGTAAGTCACATTTAAATAAAAAGTATCTTGAATGAACATAAGCCACATAGATTTTACTACACATAGGAAAGTACATGAACTACATTAAAGCTCCTCTCCCAACTAATTAAGAAAGGAATTAAAAATCAGAAGTATTTAAAAAGTATATTAAAGCATTTCAAAAGCATGATCTATGCTAGCAGGTAACCAGATAAGGTACTAAAATATGCTTTTCAAGACTCAAACATTCCTACGTTCTTTTGCAAATTCAATTTGAATTAACAGATCTCGAAGACAACGACTTCCAATTGTCAGTTCCACATTTATCCTCTCCTTGAGGTAAAGATTACAAAATAAGGACAGAAAAATTACTCAGTGTGTAACCTGAAGCCTAATTCCTCCTCAACAAACCAAATCTAACACAGCTTATTTACATTTCAACAACAGAAAATGGGGAAACATACAGCAAAATGAAAGAGGTAAGAGGCTATTTCATAGACAAGTGCAACACATTAATAAATCATGCTTAGAGATTATAGCAGATGATCAGGGAAGAAAGGTAACAGTGGACAGCAGCTCAGCAAGAGTTTCAAGGAACAGCTAGAAAGATCTGCTTCCAACATCTGAAGAAATAAGCTGTTTTGCATATACTTGCACAATGAAAAGTAGCTTAATACTTGTAGAAGAACATAATAAAATTTAGAGAACAGAAGAAGTGGTGAAACACTAAGCCAAAACTGCCAAAACATGCCCACACTCTAAATTGAATTCCTTAAGGTTAGTCTTTTCTACTCTTTTGCTTCATGACCCAAACATATTCAGTGATAAAATACTCCAAAATGAAGCGTAACAAAGGTAGCACAAGGCCACAACACACTTCTGGAGTGAATAAGGACTCCCCCCACCCCAATCCTTCTTCCTTTCCAAAGAGCTCTCTACCTCAGTCCTCACATCACAGGAATAGAACAGAAGAAAGCAAGTGACTTGGGAGCAGTTGCTTTTATAGCACATGAGGCAGCTTCGATGGCATTTTGTTCTAGTTAGATATGGTTGCTGTAGGTCGCTGCTAACATAGCCAGTTAAAAGTTAACAGCTATCGTGTATCAGTAAAATTACAGAAAATCTGCATCTTGGAACATGTTTTTCAAGCTACCTGCAGTCTAAGGCAGGCGCTACTCAATCAGATACCCCTTCAAATAGAAAGAACTGTCTCAAAGAAATTGTCTCTTTTAAAGAAACGTACATTCTGAAGCACAGTTCCACAGGAATACAGAGCCTCCTACTAAAAAGTCACTTGATGTACACAAATCCAATGGATGGCCTAACTGAAAACGTAGAACCAAGGAGCTGGAACTTAAAGCAGACAGGAAAACAAAAGGACTTGAGTATTTCCAGAGACAGCTCCTAAGAGTCACAAAACGTGCCAGAGACAGCAAACGGCTATTGAGACCCAACTGCTTTCGGTAAAGGATGATGGGGACTATCCCATCCCCACGTTCATCCAGTACAGAACTGAATAAACTCTTCTACTCAAGCCTGTCATTTTTACATGTTGACTATACAGGGAATGATTCTTAAATGAAAATTTATCAGCTAGCAGCTTAATGCAGCAAGCTGTATCAACATTGCAACTTTCTGCAAAGCTGAAACACTCCGAAAGATGAACAGAAACAGAATAATCATAGAAGAAAAAAGTCTGCAGAGACAATTACTATCTGCTCAAAGCCCCTCTCTTGAGGCTGACAAGCATAAAAGGACAACATGAAATGCTTGTGCGGCAAATTTATCCTGCTGTGACACTTTCCACACAATTTGTTACCTAAATTTTAAGTGCAGAGTATTCCCTTGTAGTGACAGGCATTTGTGTATCAAGCCCTTCTAAACTAGCAAATTTATGATTCAATAATGCTCATAAATATGGAGTTCTGTGACAGAAGCAGCAGACCAGAATACCGCAATTACATATGAAAGCTCTTCTCCAGAAAGATAGCTTTTGTTTCCTATAGCTCAGCAAGAATGCTGCTGTGGTCCTCTTAAGTAAGCCTTGTAGAAACACACACATGCACAGCAAAACATTTTCAAGGACTTCAGAATGTATTCAGCCAAAAACTTCAACAAGTTCAACATTACAGCCATATGTTGGTTCTTTTCTTTTTTAGTTGTTTTTACAGCTAAAATGTAATCATTATTAAGAATAACAACTTACCAGTGCTTCAACCAAGAGCAGTTATTTTGCTTACAGTAAATCATTTTCTCAACATATCTGTAGGGAAAACAGTATATTAAATGCTTAAATTAATCGTAAAAAAAAAAGAAAACATAGACAAAGATGTAACAGACCAGAACACAATCCTAGGCTTATGACAGAAGTTCCCCCCTTGAATAAAAACACTCCCAAGCATGAAGTACGGAAGGCACTTTTATGAAAAAATTTGAACCTGAGGGATAACTGGGCAACCTGCAATCAAAGAATTTGCACAACTCTCCCCCAAAAAACTATTCATAAATCTCCTAAAGAGAAAATAAACCAAGTGGAAACATGCTGACACTGATCTGCCTTCCACATAAAAGTAATTAAAATACTCGTTTCATGAATAGGTGGTATCAGTTAGATGCAGTAGGATAGTTTAACAGACTCACACAGAACAAGTTATTTGATCTGTATCTTACAAAGCTGCCCATTATGGTCAAGTCCCAGATATGAAAACTCCACTTGGAAAACGCTTATTGGCAATCCCCAGTGATAAACATCTATTAAGAATCATGTTATGCAGAGGTAACAAGATAAAAATAAAACCTGAAACATCAAGAACTCACCAATCCCTCTCCTTTTCTTATTGAATTTCATCCACACCAATCAACTTACAATCATGAGACACACAAGTTGCCTTCTAACGTGTAGAAGGAACCTGCTTCTCTCATGATCTCTCAGAATCTGTTTATACTAGAACACAGCTTCCAACAAATTAAAAATTAATGAATCTGTATGATGACATTATAGTGTGGTTCATTTCCTACAGTATTATAAATTCTCATCTTCAAACTGATAGCTACTCAGATGAGCAGAAAGCAAAACAGATAAATAGAGTTATTTCTTTGCTGTTACAATTCACTTGAAACAATATGGGAAAAAATCCCTTTAGGAAGGAAAGATAATAAAGATCATGAGTTCACAAGTGGTGTAAACATGAAGGATATCAAGATGAACTTGGAATTTACATGTTTAAAACATGTACTTAATAAAGATGATCCAACAGCTGTTACTAAATGAAAGTACAAAATGAAGGCACTTCTAAAATGGTGGGTGAGTGCTCTGTAGAACACAACATGGTTGCCGGCTTTTGATCATTCAAGAGGCACCTATCAGTCATTTACTCAGAACACACATAAAAAGCTTAAGATATGAACTAAATAAAGAGGCTTAATTATGTCCTTCAAATCTGCTTCTCTCCTACATCTAACAATACACTCAATAAAACACTCAAAAAGTGTGATGTAATACATGAAGACCAAGTAAAGCCAACCACTGAAAGGTTTTCAACTTCCAGCACTGTCATTTCTAACAATGGAAACACATTATCTACCTTCAAGCTATTTTGTTCTCTTTAAATCTAGAGTTAGCATTCATTTAAGGTAATTTCTCAGAAACTTGAATGAGAATATAAAATACGGCTTTGAAACAGCACAAAGTAAAAGCTTCCTCTACCAAAACACTGAAGTTCAAAGCTGACTAGACAGCACTCTTCCCAACTCAGCAAAACGCTGGAGAACAGATCTAGTATTTGTTGTGGTGGCACTGCTAAGGAGTAGTGAAACTTCTCTACACTGAACAGATGAATCAATCAAGCAGTGAGTTTTATAAAACAACACTAAGATATATGTTCATGTACATAAACAAGTGATCATTTTTTCACTATTTTCAAACACACGGTAACAATTTAGTTTACAATTGTTTATACCCATGAGGTGTTCACTCTCTACCTATTAAATGCACCACAAAAGCTGAATGCTTATGCCAAGAGCAGCAGACTGGGAAGACAGTAAATACAAGCTTAAGACGATTAACACATCTACTTCCTATTTAGCATTCTTTTATACATGGCAAATTAAACACCTCTTAATCAGACTGGCCACAGTAATTGCTGTACATATCATGTGATTAGATTTTTAAACAAATGTGGACTTCTTCGGTAGGCTTACAATTGTGCCTTATAGTTCCTGACTGCAAAGAGATGTTCTAAGACCCCCAAAGAAAACATGCTTTGCAGCCTAGATGCTACTCCTTCACCAAGAGATCAGCACTAGTATGTCCATGAAGCAGGAAAGCACGTCTCATTTCATAATGAGGTGAGACAAGCTGTTCTTAAACCACTGACTTGACATTACATTCTTTATCAGGAGAAACTAAGACAGTATTTTTGTGAAGATGATACGACCTACATCCATTCCACTGGTTTTCCACATAAGCTGTCAATCCTACGTTATGCCTCATTAATATGCTGCGGTGTGGTCATGAACTTAAACCTTTCCTTGAGTCCCAGTAAGGCATACCTAAATTAAGGAGCAAGGTGCCACTTACTAGATGAAAACACATTCATACAAAAACAAGAGACTCCAGAGGGGTCACAAAATCAGCAAAGGACTTTTAAAACTGTTTGTGTTGTAAGTATCCATTCAGCACAAACAGCATCATGATGGCATACGAAGTACATTAAACAATTAAGACCGAAGAGCTCAATTTCATATGCATTCTAAAATGCTCGTGTCAGTCAAGATGACTCAGCTCATAAGCACTTTTTAAAAGCAAGTCATTAAAAGTGATAACCTTAGTAGCTTAAGGATATAGTATTAGGACACAAATCTTGAGTTTGACTAGTTCCATTATTACCACCAAGGTCTGAATATGCTTTTATGTGAATCACAGCTTAGTCTACATAATAGACTATAATATGCCTGGCAATTCTGGCCCCTCATAACTGAAGATTCACATGGGATTTCAAGTATGTTCTGCTGTTCTTCTCAAGGTATAAGATCATTCCTACTAATTTCTACTTCTCCTCAGGCAGATGCACAACGAAGGTCCAGAATGCACTGAACCACATCTTTTGTTTTTAATTAGCTCTGCTTTGCTGCAGCCCATCCACAGTACGTGGTGTCTATCTATTACCTGAAAACACTGACTGATTTCCATCTTGCCTACTGCCAGTGTGAGTTACTGGTAAAAGTTTATTACAATACAGACTTAAAATGCTTGATGAAAACAGGTATTTAACTCCTCTTATACGAGCAGGTTGAAGCTTCATCCAAGCCAAGGAGAATAGCTGCACTCAGGTAAGTCTGTAAGACTGGTCTTCTTAACTTATGAGGATAAATTTTGTATTTATTTAAAAGCAAATTGTCAGGACTATTTTTGAGAGTTCTGCTACATATCTCCAAGTAGATGCCTTTACGCTCTGAGGTCCTGAATTTACATTGAAGGACATTAGTATCGTAAGCTGTGAAAAGGAACCAGTTAAGACAGACAAACAAGATTCCCAACTTTTAATTATACAGTGGTGAAAGCATGGCACAAATGTAACACGTTACTCCGTCTCTAAACACAGAACCTCTAACTGTAAAAAATAATAGTAATAATCAGACATTAGAACACTGATTAACAATTTGCAAGGACAGCAAGATTTTTTTTTATTCAGGCTGAGTGTGGGTTTAGGCTTTTAAGAGAAAAAAAATCTTGGAAATAGAATTTCTATGTTTCTTCCGTAAAAACAGTACGTAAAAAAACTCACAAACATCACCTGTTAACAAATCAACGCCCTCAGTTTAAGTATTTCTGAAGTTTGATTAAACTGACTGTCGTTAACAAGAATGGCAACTCCCATAAGCACTTACTTCACAGTTATGCTCATTTCAGATTCTTAAAAAATGTCTTATATATAACATAAAAATCAGAGAATTAGCAAAAAGAATTAGCAAAAAGACTTGAACATTATTTAGCACGTAACAGCAGTTCTCAAATGCACTGAAATTGGAAAGAAAATTCAACGAATTCTGAGCTTAAACACGTCATGTTTATTTTGCTTAAAAAAAAAATAACACATCTAGAATTAAAAACAAAAAACCAATGGTATAACATACCTGGCACACACAGCATTCAATTCTGATCAAGGTCTTTTACTTGACCAGCCATCTGAATCCTCCGTATCCATTAATAGCCTCTAAAGAAAAATAAAGCAAAAGAAACAAGTCTGTCAGAGAAGAAAGACACACACAATTTTTATCTATGGTCTTAATATTCTGACCAATATAAACTTCTTGAAAACACGCTGGGTGTCTTACAACCGATAAAAATTGTGCCTAGAATACACGATAATATCTGTATTTGCCTAGCATTAACATTCAGGTCTCCAAAAATGAAAAAAACCCCGCAGAATGGACTTCTGCATAAACTCCTGAAGCCTAAAGTTATTCTGTCACACACAGATGTTACCATGTGCCCAAGCATTAATGCTACAAACTTTCTGAATACAAAAAATTGTTTTTGAAGCTGAATGCCTGTTTTCAGAGGTGAAATGAGATGCGTGCAGTTATCTGGGTCTATACAAACATACTGTCATTTCCCTCAAATACAACACGCGTGTGTATTTACACGTGTACAATCCACTTTCATAAATAACCTTAGAAAAGCTAAAGTGAAAAGGAAAGGTCGCATGTATTTCATTAATTTCTTAAGTCTAACCATGTCTGCAGAAAGAAGGCATCCAAGAAGTCCAGACCGTTCATAAAACGCGCTCCTTCCAATTTAAGTTGAATTTTTTTCCTTTTTTTCCCCACAGTAGTAAAAAAGCAAAACTCACAATCATATAATTAACAATAACTGTATGTACTAACACAAGTTATAACAACTCTTACCTAAGAAAATAAGGTACCAACGATTCTTCTGGAAGCCTTTCACGAAACAAGGTATTGTTCATGGAACTCTACCTGAAAGAAAAAAAAAAGCAAATATTCAGCATTTTGCTTTAGAAAAATAGGACAAGATGCTTGAAATTTACTGACCTTTTGATAATTATTAAGTAAGTAAAAACTTACAACAGCAGTAACCGTATCTTTGTAACTCAACTCTAAAAATAAAAGTACGGGTGACTGTACATACTTGGCTGAAGAAAAACACAGGAGATGAAAAGTGACTGACACACAACATGCACGATCTATATTTCTGCATGAAGAGCTGTAATCTGCTCCTCTGTCTCCCATTCCTTTGACTAAAAGATCAAATGCTTAACCAGTTTAGTTTTTCCTTAGGAGTCATTTCTGTATTGCAGAACGCCTTTCAGTCCCTGCACTCTTCCCACATTGAAGTCCCTACAAGTAGGCTATGCAACGTTATTTAAAATTATCTGCTATCGCTGCAAGTTCTGAAATGGTTTCTGTCACTGGCCTCTCTGAATGCTAAGTCAAGAGTTACCTGATTTCCCCAAATAAGGTTTCTTTTGTGCCCTTCCGAATACAGTTTTAAAGCCTTCAGCTCTCCGACCTTTAATCAGATCCCAAACTGTGCTCCTCAACACAACCACCACCATATCTGCATTACCTTCAGCCAACTTCCCTCGCTCAACATTTAATTCTGCAGCACTCACATTTACCATCCCTACTTCATACTCTGGAAGAAGTTTGAAATAATTCCATTTGTATGTGGGTAAATTAAATATCGTCTACACATTACGTTAAGAATCTAAATTAAAATACCAACATCCTATGCACACAAAAATGCAGAGTTATTAAACAAAATATGTCAAAAATTACAAGCAATTCGTTGTGAGAGATGGTTGCTATTTTGGCTTCAGCAGTTGAAAGAAACAAACCAAAGCTATTTGAAAATATGTCCCCCTATATACTAAAAAAGAGCAAAAAAAATACAACCCCCAACCTAAAGCTAGAACTTTCTTTTCAGCAAAGTCTGCATGTCAGAACCTGTTCTACACTGCAGAACTGTTGCTGGAATTACAAAGCCATAATCCAAACCTAAAATAAAGATACAAAGCACCCTGCGTAAAGGTAATACAAGTCCAATGGCTGCTCAAACTTCTATCCCCATCTCTAAAAAAGGCAGCTTTCATTGTTGCAATGATGGATTCGTGTTTGCAGAGGAAAAAAAATGAAAAAATAGGTTTACCTCTAACTGCAGCATTTAAAACCTGCACGGAGTTTTATAATCTTGTACAACAGATGAATGCAATAAATATGGCTACACACAATACCCAATTAAAACTGAAGTTCTTAATATTTACCTCCTGTTTTACTGCAGCGACTTCTTACACATTTGGAATTACAGTTTTACCCATAAATTGGTAATTGCTGAATGTAAGCCAGCGCAAAACAAACATCAGGCATTCCATTTAAACTTGCATTTTTCAAAAGTCTTGCAATAGGTGTTGGACAACTTCTAAATTATTAACAAGCAAAACAACCATGGAAATGCTATATAAACAGAAATGACTGCAAGCTGCCTGAAAAATGCACGGACTGAACACTAGCAACAAAACTGTCACCCAATAAATGCTTTTTAAAAGCTTCTACTGTCACACAGGAACCCATTCGCCTCCATATCGCGTAATTCCTATTTAAATAAGTACCTTTTCTTCTCCTACCATCGCCTAGATCACAACCGTAGTATTTTGCCAACTTCAAACTACAGACTTGGCACCACCGATCTTTGTTTTCCTCGTGTTTGGAAGTTTTCATATTGCCATTTAAATAGCAAAATCGTATCATCCGTAATTGTCAGAGTTTTCTTTAAAGTTCAGCACCTGAACAACTGTTTTCCAAGTGCGGTATATTCCTATCCATTGTCTCCATAAAGTACCGAGCTGTCTCATCCGCAGCCTGTTTTTTCTACTTGCTGGTTTAGAAAGAGTTAAAAGCCAACACCCCACCAAAAAAATCCATTAAGTTTTATTTTTAAGAGAAAAAGACATGGCGTCTTTGTTCTTATCAACTACGAAAACATACCCCCCATCCGAGCAGCGACGGGCAACAAACGCTCTTTAAACAGACGGGAGCTTCGGGGCTAAACACGTAACTGCTGCTGTGCCACGGTCCGCACCCCCCGGGTTCTCGCTGCTGCAGCGGAGTCGTAGGGCGGCTCGGCGCTGCACGGAGCGGTGCGGCCCCGCAGCTCCGGGGCTGCCGCCCGCCGTCGCCCCCATCCACGGCTCCCCGGCCCGGGGCCGCCCCGCACGCGGGGGGCGGGGAGCGCTCCGCAGCCCGAGAGGCGGCGGGGAGGACGCGTCGTAGCGGGGCTCCCTCCGCGGCACCCCGGCCCCGAGGTCCCACCTCGGCCCGGAGGGGCTCGAGGAGAAGAGCCGGGGTCCCCCGGGCCGCCCTCGGGGAGAGGGGCGGGGGGGGCGGAGGGAAGGACGGGACGGCGGGAGCGGCGGCGGCCCCCTCCCCCTCCCGGCTCCAAGGACATTTTGTTTTTCCTCCCAAGGACAAAGGACAATGAGGAGCGGGGCGGCTCGGGCACTTACCGGCGACTGCAGCCCGCTGCCGGCTGACGAGGGCCCCGAGGACGGAGCGCCGCCGCCCTCCTCGCCCCGCCGGCGCCCGGGGGACGGCTCCGCGCCCGCCCGCCGAGGGCGAGGTTCGGGCAGGGCTCGGCAGCCCGGCGCCATTGCCCTTCGCCCGTCGCAGCCCTTCGGCGGCTCTCCCGGCCGCGCTCCGTCGCCCCCGGAGCCCCCGCAGCGCCGGGCCCGACGTGGCCGCCGAGCCCGGCACCCGGAGCGCCCGTCGGACCCCCCCGTTCCGAGCGGCGGGGAAAGCGCCCGGGAGCCGGGCGGCGGCGGCGGCTGCTTCCCCGGCCATCTTGTGCCGTGTGTGTGAGGGAGTCTCTCCCGTCTCCTCTCAACTCCTTCCTCCCCTCCCCCCCGCACAACATGGCCGCCCGCTCGCTACTCACTGCGGCGAGGAAGGGGCGGGGCGGCCCCTGCCCCCAACCTACGGCGCGCAGCGCCCCCCCCGCCGCCGCCTTCGACCACGCGTGCGCAGCACGCTGCTCTCCATTGGCCGCGCCGCGCCCTCCCCGCCGGGACCGAGGGAGCGCACCGCTCCTATTGGCCGCGCCGCGCCCTCCTTCGACCTCCCCGCTCCGGGTCCGCGCGCACCCCAGCCGCCGTCTCCCATTGGCCGCGCGCACCGCCGCTCCCCGCCTCGGAGGCCGCCGGCCGCCGCCCATTGGCTCCCGCCCGCCTCCTCGCGCCCGCCCCGGGCTCGCGCCCCGTCCGCCCTGGCCTCCCCTCGAGGGGAAGGAGGCGGCGGGAGCCGGCTGTGAGCGCCCACCCCGGCGGCGGCCCCAGCCCCACCTGGCCGGGGCATCCCCGGCTCCACCCAGCCTCGGCCCCGCTCGAGCTGAGCACCGCCTCTCTCCCAGACGGGGCTCCAGCAATCCTCAGGCGCTCGCAAAGTGCCTCAGCTCTCATTCGTCCTTGAGGCAGGACATCTCGCCTGGGCCCTTCCAGCAGCCATGTCCGGACAGGGCCCACCTCACCACGTACCACACAGACGTTTCTCCCTTCACCCGAATGCCTTCTCTGAGGCCCTCCACCTGCTCCTCACGCCCATCCTCGCAGAGAGTTGCAGGAACCATCTCACCTGCCTGCCTGCAGCATCACTGTCTGCATTAGCGCCTCTCAAAAACACCACAAGCGCCCAAACAGAACACAGCACCCTGCTTTTTTTAGCCAACACCATAGAAACTGGCTCGTATGCCAACCTCACCAGGACGCTGTCTCCTATTTTGACTACTGCCATGGAAACCGGATACCACGAGGATGGGAGCATCCCCATGTGCTGGCCAGCATTGGAGATGTCAGCCTGCAGCCGGTCAGTGAGGATATTGCTCTGCACCCAGCTAACGTGACAATGACATAATTAATATTTACATGCTTCAGCAATCGCTGTGAGTGATTAGCATGCCTTTCTCCTTCTGTTTGCACATCTTACCCTGTTAAAAGCAGAAAGATGGCCCATTCTTCCCCTTTTTTTAGGTAGTAATATGAGTAGGTATGGCAGCAATTAAGTCAGCAATACCTGAAAAGTTTGGGGAAGGCCTACAGAGAGCTAGTCCAGCACTGGAAATCATGCAATTGGACTGCAGCAGCAGACTCCTGAATTGCAGCCCTGGAAAAGCCAGTATCTGGTCAGCTGGAAAGAATCATTCACTAATGTCCCCGAGGACAATGACTTTGAGCTGAGAGATGCATTTCTTCGCAAAATACAGAGAAACGCAGACCTCTCTCCGTAGGATAGGTGGAGACAGTTTGTATGGAAGGACTGCACAAGTCTGCTGCCTTACAGACTGTGGTGATACAGCATTGGCAGTCTCCTAAAGCAGTGCTGGTGGCCCACACGGTGATAAAGGGAGCCTCCAGCCAAGGAAGTACTGGTGGGGCAAACATGCAGATATTGGATCCTCACTGGCAGAGCACAAAAGGCCTTTGATTTTTCTCCACAAGCAGAATTGGAGTTCTGGTTTGTTGAAAATATGGGGTACAGGGAACCTGTTCTGCAGCTTCATTTCCATTCAGATTCTTGCAAAGCAAAAGCTAATCCTTTTGCTCTCAATGGAACTGTGCATGCATAAGTGCATGCAAAGGTGCTGGCATGCACAGAACCCAGGTGCTGCCTGTGCTTCTTGGAAGAATACCAACAACGAAGAGAAGGGAAAGGCAACCACAATGAGGCACAAATCAGATAAAAGCACAGTACAGCAAAAGCACTGCTACTTACGCAGGCATCTTCACTCAATGTGGAAGGTCCGTCTTTACAGCAAGGATAAAGACATGAAGTTCAATATACAACTCCCAGCCTTTCTGTTGTTTCTTCCCAGAATACATTCCTAGAAAAGCATATGAAGTACGATCACTCGTGACAGCCACATGAAATGGAAAAGAAGAGATCAAGTGTTCAAGACATAACTGCGCTTCGTAAGAATAGTGTGGTTCTAGCCAGAATGGTTTAAGGTTATAACTGAACAAGACCTGACCTGCACGCTTATCTGATTTTCTCCAACATCCCAGGACTACCTAATACAACAGATTATTCATCTTTAAAAACATATTTATTCCTGTACCTTTTACAGATAGATATGTTTTTAACAGTCAATTACTGTACTGCTTTTAAGTATAAACAAAAAGTTACTGGAAGTCTAATATCCTAATTAAATATAGTCAGTGCTGCTCATTTGCTTCCAAAAGCAGCTCCAAAAAGACTTACAGAAGGATCCATTTCTCCTCCTCTTTCTTGGCTTCTAGTGAGCTGTATGTAAGGGAACATAAGTACAGTCACTCTCACCAGTCACTACAGTCATCAGACAAATTTCACGTTCCTGTATCAGTGACAGACCATTTGCATTCTGTTTTCCAACTGAAACAGAAGAACGGTGCTAGTTTCCTTTCTCACACTTTCATCTCCCATGGTCAGCTCTACATGAACACTAAATTCTTGTTCCTACCACCTCTATGGTTACACCAGTTATCCCTTCTAAATTTCTCATTTCTGTGCAACTGCAATTTCCTCTATACACTGTATTCTATTTTAGACAGCACTTTCTTTTTCTGGCTTTGTGTATCATTAATTCAAATACTTCAGCCATGTTTTATGAACCACTTGTAATGGTTCATAATAATAATAATGAGGCAACTTAGTATTTCCATTACTAATTTGGGAAATGTTTTCTGAGACTGCATCTGTGGCTACAACTCCCAATTTAGGCACCCAGTTTTATTCTATGAGCTTTTAACCTTCCCCCCAGCTTCCATGAAGGTCGTTATCAAACAGGATAACAGAAGCCCTTCAAATACACAAGCTATTTTGTGGTAGGTATTTAAATTCCTCCAGTGTGTTCACAGAAATTGTCACTTCATCCTAAACTCAGTCTATTCCTACATTCCATTTTTGTATTTAACGTGTTACTAAAACAAGCAGTGTTTTCTCTTGTGTTTCCTTCTTATTAATTCACCATTAAAAACACAGTTACACCCAGGCAGATGAAAATTACCTTTGATCACACTTCTGAAAACCTACAATTTCAGAGCAGCGTGCACAAAGGCTGAGTGAACACAGCCGCATCTACACTGCTCTCATTTGTGGACTTTTCACAATGACTAATATTGATTTGACTAAACTTTGACACAGAATAATGTCAATAAACAGAAAGGTAAATAGAGACAAAGTTCTTCTAAGCACGGAACCAACTTCCCTCTGTGACTGTAAAGATTATTATGGTATATTGATCCTAGCTAAACCTTTTTGCTACTTTCACACAGCAAGCAGTGACAGCACCAACAGTTCTAGCAGTCAGTTCATGCTGTTCATTCTACTCTGGGTCTGGAACTGGAATTCAAGCTCAGACCTTCGTTCCATCACGTAACGAACAACTGCAAACACATCTACACGGAGAAATTTTGCATACGCCCTTTTTTCTGCTATGACTTAACACTGAAAACTACAATTCTGTTAATACGGCACTTTTGCTAGCACTTTTATGCTGCTCCCATTTAGAATGATGAACCTTTTGAGCAGCAAGAGAAAGGTTTCTTACCAAGAATAATATGAAACAAATTTTTGTCGCTGTCACAAGCATGTGGTAAAGAAATCTTTCAGTCCGCTACGCCACATTCCAGTACTTTTTGCAGCATATTCAAAATTAAGTTCTTTTAACCACAATTCAGCTCTTTTTATGTTTTCAAAGAAAAATAATTTATCAATACGAAAATAATATCATAAGGAAAACGGGAAATTTACCTAATATCTTTTGTGGCATTTAGTCAACTATCCTAAGCAATTTTTTAACTTGTTGGTCAGAATGCAAAGAATTGATATTGTTTCTGTACACATGATCTTGTGGTCTGAGCTCAGATTTTAGATCTAAGACTACCCAAACAACCTGCCCAGCTCATTTCATTTTGTGTGAATTCCTGTACACAGTAAGGCAAACAGAAAAAAGGTAACTATTGCCTGGTGCTTACTGTACTTTATATTAACTTGACTAATGAATACACACCTATTCTTCTGGAGAAATCTAGAGCTCTTTTCATCAAGGAGTTCTGAAATTTGAAGTTTGATGTTTTTATATATTTAGCTACTGGAACTTATTACCACAGCTACTTGTATGGAATGACCTGGTTTGTCAAGTTTGGTTCTTAGGTAATAAACTATTCTTCTTGACTTGGCAAAAAGGAGTGGGACATGGTAGAAAAAAATACTGATCAATTCCTTCCACGCACCTACTTCAACACCTGAATTTGTACAAGTGCTAACAGGTATCTGGACATGAAGAAAAATGATGCAACTCTGCTTACAACTGACATCACTTCTGAAAGCAAGCAAGAGACTAACATGGACATTCCCAGGAACTTTAACACTAACAGCTACAGGATGTGAACTCAGGTTGTATCACTTGACTTACATGCTTTAACTTCTCTGTACTGATGTTGTTCACCGCTTTGGAGACTTAGAAGACTTGATAGTTACACAAAGGTTAGACAAATAGGCAGGGTTTAAAATGCAGAACTGCAATCAGTATTCTTTATCTTACCATTCTGGTTGTAAATATAGTCTGCGAAGTCATAGAAGTGTTCTACTGTGATGGGGAATGGTCATTATTTCATCTTGAGTCTGATAAAAGAAAAAAAAGAAAGCACTGGCAAGATTAAGAGAGCAATGCCCAGCCTCATGTTTCAAAATAAAGACACCACACTCTTGTGTTCCAAGGTAACATTCATGGCTGATATGTAAAGAGTTAAAAGAAAATATTTTATAGTTTTTAAGCAAAATCTTTACAATATTTGGATTTCAAATACAACTGAAAAAATTTAGAAGTTCTAGAAACTTAACGTAGTATTGTTAAAACTCCAATAATCTGACATTCTACCGTGATTTGTCTCCTGTACAAATTTAAATTTTACTTCCTGAAATCATTCATCTATTCATCCTTCCAATTTGTTTTCTTCAAATGCGAGTCAGTGACGTTTGACTGCTTCAGGGTTTAAGAAATAGCATGAGAATAGGAAAAACAGTACAAATTTGTGTTTTACAAATTAAAAAAAAAAAACATCAAGGGAAAAAACCTCTATAAGATTTAATTCTTACTTTTTATTAAATCTCAATTTTTATTCAAGTCAAGGGAGACTTATGAAAGTTTTGATGACAAACATAACAAAAGGTGTTTTTTCTTGATCAATCTCTGGAGTTTCAGGGCCACGAGGGCCCCGTGCTACCCTTACAAACATGATGAATTTCACTCAGAGAGAACAAGACAAATTACAGCTACTCTAGAATAAAAAAGAAACACAACCCAGGCCTCTAAAAATACAATACAGAACTGAGATTCTTGTTTCAAGCAAGTCAAACAACATAGTAACAGCCTGTTTCCATAACAATCTTCATTCCTTTCTCTTCTGCACAGGTAGCACCACAGGGCATTTTATTGATTACTATATAATAGTTGACAAAATGATGCATTATTCAGCAAATTGCCACATGCAGTAACAGAAACCGTGCTTTTCTCTAAAATTGTACAAGCCTACTTTTAAAATTTTACAGACAACCAGCATGACAACGCATTGTATATATAAAAGGGAAAACTTCTTACATTCATAGCTCAAAACAAACTCCTTTATATTTGTCAACACTAGTTAGCTGAGAAGTAAAATCAATTTTTGATATAGTGATACTATATCAGGGACATGCTTGGATTAGAATGTCACCTTCCCAGAAACAGCTTCTGTGTCAGACTGATGTTACCCATGAGGTTTTCTATTTTCCTCCTGCAGTCCATTTGCTATACACTGGCTGCTGGCACAGCCTTACCCAGCCCAGAACTCGAGCAGTTTTGTGCATGTCCAGCATGTTGTCTATTGAGAATAAGCAGCAGTAAATTTGCATGCTGTAACAAACGTTCTCTCTCTCCAACTGAGTCATCAATGGTGATGATCTTGTCTCATTGAAATCATTCACTATGAATCTTTTTTATATTTAGTCAAAGATTAATATTGAAAGGGAACAGGTAAAAAAAAAAAAAAACATACAGCCCAAGGAAGCACTGTCAGAACAGCACTGTCACAACATAAGGCCAGTAGCTTTTTGCAAAATTAGGGCAGAAGACAAGATAGCTCAGGTCAGACATCCAATCACTATCGGACTGCAAACTTCACTGCAGTTTTGCCCAGTGGAAGATCTACTTCAGGCTCTGTGTGCCCAAGAAGATGAGACTTGTTTTCTTCAAGACTGAATACTGGGTGCAACTAAAAGTTACCAACTTGCTCTACAAATTGTCTCTTTTTAAAATGTAGAAACATTTAACATATTAACAAAAGCTGTTATTTTGGTCTCTTCTTGCTACTCCAGATGCATAGGCCTTAACTTGTGCATCTGTGCCTTTAATTCAGCCCTGAATAATTACATTTAGGTCAGTGGAATCACTCCAGCATTTTCTTGGTGTGTCTAAATGGAATGTCGTCCTAAGGATCTGAAATGAACTGCGAGAATTTTGAGTAAGAGCAAACATGTACAGAAGATAAAAAAAGATTACAGAACACTTTGTGGAGGGAAATGTATGGGGAATACAAGTGTGTATGGGCAGGAAATTAAATGAAATGCTTGAATAATTCAGAATCATAACGAGCAAAATTGAAACACTGGGATTTTAATAACTGACTTTCTTTTTTTTAACCCCAATTATTAAAATATTGTGCTGCTGGCTAGCAAATCGAGTACTGATAATGAATATTTGGAGACAGAGCTTTTGCTGCATGAACAAAAACTCATGTTAAAAGATTAATAAAGGATTGTCTTTATATACACATACACACTCAAAAATGATGAAAACTGGAACAAAAAATGAAGTTGAAGTTCAATTATTTAAATGTAGAAAGTCTGCTCAAGTGATGCTACAATGGAATTAAGCTTAGGAGAAAACAGAACCTAACTGAGAGTTTCAGAAAAGTGTACTACTATATGCCAGAAAATTAATTTTTATAAATCAAAATTACTATATTCTTTATGATAATAAGGCAGTCTTACAAAAACAAACTAAAGACTTACATCAACTGTGTACCAGACCTCTATGCTGCACATGCTGCTGGCAATCGATGCATGCTGCTTTCAGGACATGTTTGACCTATGGATTTAAGGTACCCCTAGTAGAATACAGATGGGCAATCAAGAAAATAATGATCTTGAGGTTGCAAAAAGGCTTCTTTCCATTCTTTGTCTGTGATGAAGGAATCACTGCCTCAGGCAGTTCATAGTTGGAGACAAATTTAAAAGGAAACACTCCTTTAGAGGCAGAGACAGGGAATCGGGCACCTTGCAAAACTGAACTGCAGTTAACATGGAAGAAGTTGACTCCTGGCTTTACTTATGAGTAAAGCTCTCTGAAATCCCAGTGCTATGTGCAGGTTCTTTCCTCTCCCCAACAATCTCAGCTCGTTGCCCCCTGTCCTGAGCAGGGCTGGGTGCCACACACCACGGGCTGGAGTACTACTGTGCCATGCATCGCTGACCAGAAGATGCTGATGGTCTGGGCAGCAAGGACAGCAGAGAAATGAGCCCTTGCACACATTCTGTAGTTCTCTAGTGGAAGCACTGATTTGCCTCCGTAACCCAGAGCTTTCCACAAACTTCACTGAAATTTGCTGGAAACACAGCATCGGATCAAACGCTAAAGGCCTCCAACAGCACAGTTTCACAAGCTCTGCCTCGTTAGGAAGCCAGGATAAAAATACAGCAGCATGAAAAATAGATGAGCAGCTTTTCCTGAGTCTGAAACCAGAAAACAATGACACAAAACCAAAAATCACATGCAGCACTCTCTCCTGTATTCCCAAATGCCAACATTAACGCTCCCTCTCCCAGAGCCTCATTAAACAAACCAGCTGAATAACGCACTGTGAAAGGGAGAGACCTGGGAGCAACGAAAGTAAACTCAGACACCAGAGGCCCATGACAGAAACGCTGCTTTCAGCTCTAAGGATTGTCTGCTGGAGGGGAGTCAGCCTGGCCACGTTCCTGACAAAAACCTCCATATCCTCCTGATCAAACAGGCAGTTCTGACAGCTGCAGCCAGCCTGAGATTTTTAAATCAAAACTATCTCAACACCTGGAAGCCACATCAGAAAGCACCGCTATTTTGTGCGCAGCCATCTTCTCCTACCAGAGCCAAATACTGCATAAAAACACTCTTTCCCTCCGGCTCAAACCCCTCATCTCCCCGCACCTCAGCCGCGGCCCCACACCGCGCCGCCACGGCCGTCACCGTGCACACAGCGAGAGCCGCGTTACAGCTCCGCCATTCCTGCAGCCTCCTGACAAGACTTTTGTTTTCCGCTGCTCACTTACTCCTTGAGAAAACACATTTTCCTTACTCTCCCTTCTTGTCTTTAATTTATATGTGTATAATTTATTATTTTTTTTTAATCTTAAGTCTGAATCTGGAACGCTTTGCGCTACAGGAGGGCGAGAGAAGGGCGGTTGTCTCGCTCCACACGGAGCAGCTCCGGCTCCACAACATGGCTCCTCCCGCCGCCGCTCCACAAAATGGCGGCGCCTCGACCCACCGCCGCCTGGAAAGGCACAGGGCATCCCGCAGGAGGCCGCGAACACCGCTTTCTTTTGTGTTCGCTATTATTTTTCTCTCCCTGCTCTCGGCCCTAGAGGGGTGGTGCGGGCAGAACCTTCTGCACAGCCCCAGCCTGACCCGCGCGGCTCCACCCCCGAGCGCTGCGGAACGACGCCCCGCCGCGGGGCACTGCGGGCCGGGGCCGCGCGGTGTTGGGTTTCTCGGCGCAGCGGTTGTTCCTGCGATGGGGGAAGGGAGCAGCTCCCCCGCCCGCAGTCATCTGCTGCGAAGGGCTGGAGCTCTCGGAGCCAATTAGTCCGGGAGTTAACCGCTTCGCTGCGGGGAAACTCGAGCTTCAGGCACGGGCTCGGGGAGGTGAGGGGCTGAAAGCGCTGCAGGGACAAAACGGCCGCATCCAGAACTAAAGCATCCAGTTCTAATAAAGCTGGATGCGTTTCCAGATCCGTGCCGTCTATGGGGATGCGCTGCGTTTCCTGTGCAACCTTTCCAGGCAGAACAACGCCTCTGTGCATGGGAGAGCAATGACAGAACCCATCTCCCTCTAAACATATGTGCCTCCATAATCCCCTGTGCCCAGACACAGTCCTCCATGCACTCATCTTGATTATTATTATTTTTTTTTTATCCCCAACTGCATTAGAACAAAGCAAACAAACAAAAAAGGTTCAGTTCCCAGCCCTTTCCTCCAGTGACATGCCTGGGCATCTAAGAGCAGCAGGCTCCCCCTTGACTCGGCCGGGCAGCAGACCTATTTTTGTGCTCTCTTTGTATTCCATGACGTACAAGAGAATATTGGATCAGACTGTCAGGGAAGCCAGGAAGACAAGAGTGTTTACATGGCACCATGGAATGCCCTAAGCTCCGCACCTGCTGCTGGGGAGAGGCCATCCCAGTGCTGCAAGGCTGCTTCTACTCCAGGCAAGAGCCACAGCATATGACACACCTATTCCCACAATGCTAGTCTCTCCAATGGAGAAAACGAGGTCAAATCTCCCTCCTTACCCAGGAAAAAGTACCGAGTCTGCAGAAGGAGCTAACAGGGTTGGCACTGTGACATCTCATTTCTAAGCTCCAAGAGCAGCTCTGGCTACACTGAAGTGCAAATCTACATTCAAATAAACACTGTAGAGGGGAAGAAACGTACTGCAAAGCAAACAGCAGATTTAGGCTTGCAAGCTCTGAGCCCTGGCAGTACAAGAGCTCTCTTGTTCCTGTTGCCTCCCACAGCTGCATTCACTAAATATATCCTGCACAGAGAACTGCGTTTCTCCACCCCTTTTGCAGCCCAATCACATTTGTACAAACACCAGCAGGCTCCCTTGGGATGTGCAGCCAGGCAGCAGCGTGCCCTAGTTACAGGCATCATGAAGAAAGGGAGAGACTAATAACAGCTCCAGCAGGATGAGACTGTTACGGCCACAGGTTATTTCAAGAGGAATATGTGTGCAGCTCACTGATATTTAACCATTAAAGACACAGTGCTTTGCTCCCTGTAAAAGGTTCACCTCACTCATTTGGCAAAATGAGTTACTCTAAATCATTCCCATAGGGCTGGCCCATGGAGAGGAATCCAATTTTAACTTCCAGCAAACCAGGGCTCTGTGGCATGTTGCTTCAAGATGTAACAGGAGGTAAGCAAGCACAAAGCCACATGGTGCACTGCAAGTCAACACTTGGAATTTTTACTTGGAAGCAAAAATCTACAAACTAGAGGGATATCCAGTTTGGCACCTTTCAAAGACACTGAGATGCAACAAATAAAAATACTTTCTCTAAGTTGATGAGCCCAGTTCTACCCTCTGCTGCATGGATCACAGGGAAATGTGTTGACCAAATGTAGATAACAGCAAATTGAGGTAGAAAAGCACATGCTGCTGTTGTCTTTCCCCATACAGTTGTGGACTGATACATCTCTGCCTCCATGGGAGAAGACAGTGACTGAATTTTCTGTAGGATCGAGGTGCTTTTCCTATTACCCCCCTATTCTGTTCTCCATATTTTCTCTGCTCTCGTATGTCTTACTTGAAAGGATGTGGATTCTGGCACAATGGAGCCTCAGTCCCAGCCCCAAAAACACCGCTGTGAGCACCATAATTCCACAGCAGATCAAGTTCCAATAGGGGAAAAAATTAAAAAAGAGGAGTCTTAGTGATTTCCTTCACTCTCAAGCTGCTAGCCAGCAGGGATTTTGACCCTCTCTTGGTCCCTGCTTCTTTCTTTCCTGACAGTTTCTTATTTCTTCGACACCTCCAGCTCTTCTAGCAGCAAAGCAAATTTGACAGAATCTGGTCAATTTTTCAAGCCATCTAATTTTAAGAAGTCAGTGAGAGTTGACTATCTCTTGCAATCAAACCTCACTGGAGGGAGAATTAGTAACTCATGCATGACCTTAATCTGTAGGATTTCGTAGATAGTTTTTCTTGTAATCTCAATGCTCAGAGTTTATCATACATTCAGTCTCTATCTGTAGCCCTAGAATGTTTTGCAACAAAAGGAACCCAAATTCATTTTGATATAATTATGCGGTCACAGCAGTCCATGCTTGCTACTGAATAAATACAGAGTACTTGGGAATAACTGGTAGAATTGAATTAAATCATAAATGGTAAGAAAGCAATACAGCAGTAAACAGATAATGAAAATATCTATTACATAAATAAAATATGGTGAGGTTTAGATATCAAATACTCATGAAGGAAAATGGTGCAAGGAATATTTGAGGAATATTTTAGTATCATCTTTTTCCATTTTGCAAACATAGCAGGAAGAACCTAAGCTCATGCTGAAGCATCCACGTGAAAAGCCTTATTTTCAAAGGTAGCAACATCTCCTGAGGTATCCAAACCCTTTAAAATTAGATGAACTATTCACAAAACGGCCACAGGTCCCTAAGCTTAATTAAACAGTTGAAAGCTACAAAAGTTGGAAGACCGTGCTGTGCTCTGTTGTTTTTCCTGCGCATTCTCTCCTCTGCTTTTCTCACCTTCCTTAAACAAATCAGCCTCAAAGACCATTCTAGTGTCATGTGGAAACTAAGATGGCTTTAATTAGTCACATTGCTGTGGAAGAACCCTCAGCAGTTCCTGCTGCAGTGGTTGTACAGAACACAAGCCCTGACTGCTGGGGACAGAAGTTGGCAGGACCACAGTATCAAGGCTGTGGTTCAGAGAAGGATGGGCAATGCCAGGTCGTTTTGCATGCTCTGACCTAGATAATTCTATGGGATTCTACAGACTTATGAGTGCATGCAAAAATGGGTATTCCCTCCTGCGTGTTTCTAAAAGGTAGAGAAATGAAAAATATGAAAGCTGTTGTTACGACTGAGAGGCAAAGGAAACCCAGAAATGCGTGCTGCCTTCAAAACCACTGCAGTTCTGAAAGCAAACAAAGTTTTAAGAAACCAGGATCTAAGGTTTCATTCCTTAGACAAGGCAGTGACTCACCCACATTCCTCACTGCTCCAACAAGAGGCGAGTCCTGCTCCTGGCAGACCAGATCCTCTGCATTGCACTGTGCCAAGCAAAGTCCAGCAGCGGCAGCACATTGGAGCTGATGCAGAATGGGGCCAAACCAGTGTTAGTAAGGGGCCCCCTTTGCAGGCTGCTGGGTTAGCTGGAAAATTCTTGAGCCCAGACCTCCTGCTTTTCATGCCTGAAAATACAGTGAAAAGGAAAACAGCCACTACTAATGATTACTTTTCAAAGGCCAAACTCATACCAAGGTTGAGTAAGATTGCCCAGAGGCAGCAGCTGAAGTTCTTCACAATCCAGGGACAGCTGAGACAAGTCAAAAAACCAACTGAGCAGAGGGAGCCAGGCAGCACACAGGTGGATAAGCTGCTGTTTCTAACCTCAAAGTTCCTCATGAGGGGAAGCATGACCTCGGGATGGGGAAGCTCAGTCCTGAGCATCTGGGTGCTTGGTCATTCCCAGCACAGGAGGCAGACCTCACTGACGTAGGGAAAATCCTTAACAATGTAGGCAGCTAACAGAAGCACACAGATGCTGTGTTATCTGTGGAAGGATCCAGCCTCACACAAATAAATGACCCCTGAGCCACCACGGCAATGCCTGTTGCACTCTCCTGGCATCAGCAGGCAGATAAAGCACGTAAAGGCAGTCCTCCCTGCTGCTACACAGCTTGTCAGCAGTGCTGCAAATATTTCAGGCATTTCCCACAGCCCTCCACAGACTGCGGCAGGGACTCGCCCAGCGGCACCCCAGGGGCTGCCCAACAAATCTGTTTAGCAGGCTGCAGAGCAGCTAATATTCATCTCATTTATTAAATGAGAACAACAGAAGCAGGGGGATTTAAGAGATTTTGCTGGTATAATTTCTGTGATGTGACACGCTGCTTTGCAGAAGCAACTATTGCAATGGCAAACAGACCATAAAACCTCATTTTAATAAGGCAATTCTTTGCGCGAAGGCAGAGAAATCATCACAGGCGATAACTTCCAACCTATTATTATCACAATTCGGGGAGGCTCTTGGTGTTTCCAACCCCAGGCTGCTTTGGAAGGGCAGCATTCGTCACCCACCCGCAGCACGAGGACAGAATCCCAATTCCACCCAGGGAGGCGGGTGCCCAGGCAACACAGCAGGATCGGTGCTTGCTGCACTCCGGCCTCCGCAAACAATTCTTGCCACGTAGGCAAGAGCGAGCAGGGCAATGGAAAATTACTGCGGGCTTTTTCTTAAAGGGCGAGAATCCCCTTTAAGCAGGGAAGGTTGGTCTGCAGTGCGTCAGCGGCACGCTGGGGCGTTAATAAGGCAGGGAGCATTTGCATGGTATTTCAGCAGACTGCAGTGGTAGAAATGGAAAGCAGAGAGCTGAGCAGCAAAGAGGAGACATGGTAGATCTACGGCCTCAGAGACAGCAGCCCATGCATGGTGCAGTTAACAGTAGCCACGAGCTGAAGTCACAATGACACTGCCTGAGCAGCTGCAGGAGCCCTTAAGAAAAGAACAGTCTCACTTCCCCAATCACAAGGCTTTTATCAGCTGCTTTGAAAAATCGTGGCCATCTTTACCTCCAGTTTCAAGTGAAAAAGAGGCCAATTTCTTAAGGCAGCCCTACCTTAAAACCAAGCTAAAGAGCCATGCAAATAGCTGTAATAACACTACATACCCCATTTAAACTGCATACTACTGCTGGATGAAAATCAGACATTAGAGATTGCAGACTTACCAATGGGACAGGACTGCACTCCTCTACCAGGAAGGAAGCAGTACTGCTACACAGCCAGTAGTCTTTCACATCTCAAGATGAGCTCCTGTATCCATAACAAGTTTCATTTCACAACCACAAGAAACAGCATGCACTATCTGCTTGCTGGGGGCACCTATAGGGAACCAGGTACAGGGAATTCCCACTTATCTACAGGTAAATGAGGCAAACCTGCTGCTCTTGCTAGCCTCTTGCTGCATGCAGCTGTTGCTCATGATGACCCCGGGTTGGTTCGAGGATGCAGCTCTCAGTCATCTCTGCATATTAAGGTTTTGCTTGCCAGACCTGCAGCAACCTGTCTTTTGGTCTTCTTGTGTTCCTAATTTGCATGTTCAGATTTTACTCTTCTGTTTTTCCTGGGTTTTTGCTGATTAAAATCTCAACCCTAGTCTCTGCATTTTTTTTATAACTAGCTGTACTGGGTTAGAGGACTTCTTGAAACAGAGCTTTCCCCCTAAATGGAAACCTTTACTGTGAAGCTGCTTTCATCGCCAACTCCGCAGGCAAAGTCATTACATTTAATAGAGGTTGACCTCATTTTGTAGTTCTTGATATTAATGATTATAAGGAGGGAACAAAATTAGAAGCAGTGACTTCCAAACAAGGATAAAGAGCACTTGTTGTTGCTGCCTCCTTCTCACCTCGGGATTCATTCAATATGGCTGCAAAGAGTAACTTGAAACAGCCTCTGGCAGATAAGCAAACTCAAGTCAAATGCAACGATCTCTGGTTTCCGAGAAACCTTTTACAGCTGCATAGAGAAGTGAAATGAAACCCTCCAGCACTGCATAATGCTGCTATAAAGACCTCCTGGAAGAACCACAAACGTGCATTGTGGGTGAAAGCTCATCTTGGGCTCAGAAGAGATCTATGTGCCGGCATCCGAGGCTGGAGTAAGCTGTGGCCCTGTGCTTCTGTTCCTGTGGAGCTGCTGGTGTTTTCTGCTGCTGAGGCCGTGCTCTGACAGCAGAAAAGTTCAGTAACCATGCGTGATGGAGCTGAATGCAGATGTGTTATGGCTTTGTTGGCTTTTTTCTAACTTTGCTAATGCAATCTGGGTTTCCACGTAGTGGATACTGTTGTCATAAAGGGAAGACCAAATGCAGCCAGGGACTGGATAACCACATTTCCTGCAGCCAGGGTGGGCAGTGCCACAGGGGACATGCCATAGGGGCTGGATGAGCTGGCTTGGCTTCCTGTGGACTTCCACCTTAACACTTCGAGTTTAAAGAATCTCACGCTCACTCTTCCAAATGGCATAGAAATCCACCTGAATATTTTGAATTAATTTTTCCAGCTCTTGTGAAGCCCTCAGTGCTCTGCCTTTTGGCTCCGTCTTGCCCACAGAGCCCCCTGAGCAATCCTCACGTTTCCTCTCACGCCGTCCTGCTTGCTTGGAGAAACTCACATTGTGCGAAAAGAGCAGATTCTTGTAAAAAGCCCCTGGCTCTCTTAAATTCCCCTTCAGTTGTTGTGGTTTGAGCAAGCATTTCTGCTTGAGCAAACCTCAAGCTTCCTGATTTCTGCAGATCCCCCCACTGCAAACAACCAGGTTCAGCTTTGCTCAAAGGTTTGGCCTGGGTTTCTTTCAAAATCAAGATAATGTTGTTGCCCCCAGCTTAAGACACTGTGTGTTGTTCAGTACAAGGCTGTTTCCTGCAGTGCCAGCCCTTCTGCATCCAGGCACCAAGCAGAACTGTCACAGCCTCACCTGCAGTGGGCTCACCCTGTGGTTTGTGGTCCAACAAGCATCTCAGCAGGAGGTGAGGGAAGGGTAGTGCCCTTGCGGAGCACAGCTCCCAGGGACTAATACAGGGACAGAGGGACACAGCACAGATTGGCTGTGTTTGGTCTTTGCACTCTGATCAACCCCACCCTTGGCCACACAGGGCCATTCTAGCTCAGCTGGTTTTTCCTCTCCCTTTCATGCACCTGGGATATCAGATAAAGGCATTCATAAATCAGGCCAGCAATTCCCAACACGCCTTGAGCCATGAACCCCATCTTGTGGTAGTGATTCTAGAGAAGCCTTAGGCAGTGTCCTGGGACTGTAGTGCCCAGTGCTGCAGCTAGCAGCAATGCTGTACCCACTTGGTGCAAGCAGCTTGATCTCCTCAGGCTTATTTTTAGAGCTGCTAGTTATTTCCCAAGAGCCCAGGGTAAGCTGACAAGGCCAGCTCCATGTGTGTATTTAGCAGCAGTGCTGTGGGGGTGAAACCATGTCAGCACCTCTACTCTACCCCCACCACTGTAAATAGGATGTAAAAATTCAGTCCTGGCAGAAATACACAAGTCGTCGTGGAAAATCATCTTAACTGAACCTGATCCTTGCTCAAATTCATCTGGCTAGGGAGAGAAAATGGGAATTTAAAACATGTTTTGTCCTTCTCAGGCCTAAAACTTAATTTTTAAAGTCCAGCTGCATTTCACTCAAATTACTTGCAGGGAATTTTTGTAGTTGCTTTTTTAAGAGTGTATCCATGGTAAATGGAAAAGTGAGCTGTTCCCTCCTCCACATCTTCCACAAGCCAAGCACATGATTAAAAGTTGTCGTTGTCAATCTTACTAATGAGAGCCATAGTTAATAGTCATTTTAATTGGGTACAGACCCGTGAGAGAGAGCTGGCAGCAGTGCTTGTGTGGCCTTGCAGGCTGCTGGGCTGGGGAGCAGCTCTGGGTGACAGTGAAACAGAGGGCTTTCGGTCAGGCCAGGTGCCAGTTCTCAGTATGTCAGGAGATGTTTGTCAAGCTGCACCTTCAGGCCCTTCATAACAAACTGCTGAGCAGCCCCCTGGTGCCTCTGTTCCTGTTGCAGCTTTGTACCTCTCTGCTGAGCCTGCAAAAACAGCAGTGGGGGAAAAAGAGCATGGCCACCACAGCATGGCTCTGTGTTTCCTTCATGCTGGGGTAAGGTTTGACCTAGGGGGGCAGGAAGATGTAGAGGAAATATAAGAAGAGGAACTTCAGGAGAGACACTACCAGCTCTTTCACTCACCCAACTGTATTTCTGGTTTCTGTATTTATACATTTTCTGTATTTCTGTGTTAGCCCAGAAAAGGCCAAATGCAGAAACAGCTACAGCCTGCAGCCAACAGGAGCCTGTTTGCTGTGCTGGTAGGTGCAGACCTGGGGAGGATGTTTGGGAGATACAGAAAGTGGACATTTTGTGATATCACATGAGACAGTAACCGGCTCAGCTTGACTCAGTCCTGCTGTCTTGCTTCCCCATGGAAACGCCGTGCTGCACCATCTGCTAGTGCCTCCCTGCAACACTTTGAGCTCCGACCTCAGCCCCATCTGAAAGGTGCATGAACCCACCAGAAGTCTCTGCCTTTCTCCCCCAAATCCTCTTGAGCAGGGGGTAAGGAGGCTGTAAATGCATCCATCTGTCATCCTGCTGCCCCCCCAGCCCACACGTGTGCTTTAGCAGACAATTACTGCACAGTTAATCACAACACGTCCTGCCTGCCTAATGTGGGTGGGCAGGCAGCTGGGATGGTTGCGGTGGAATCCAGTTATAAAGGACACAGATTTGCAGGAAACTGGGATTTACTTTCTGCTCATGGAGAAACAGGTTCCAGTTGTCTGTTCTGGGAAAATATGCTAAAATATGCATATTGCTCTCCAAAACACATATAATGCCCATCTAGCAGCCCTGAGAGCACTTGGGAGGTGGTATGCTGGGAGATCCCACGTCAGCACCCCAGCCTCAGCCCCATGTCCTGTTGGCACAGCTGTGCTGGTAAATGCCTGCAGTGGTGGCATCAGGGCTGCCCCTCTGCTTGGCACAGCCCTACCACACTGACACATTACACTGAATAAATGCAAAACCTTTAAGGAAGAAATGAATGTAAATGCCAAGGGTAGGCTAGAGACTAAAGCAATGCTATGAGGGTTTCTGGGGGACTTTGACTCTAAAAATGTCTCTTTGCCATCCCACCACTGTATGTGAAGACAGATTTTTCACACCCACATCTGCAAACTGGGACTGAAGGGTTTGTACTGACCTCTCCTGAGAGGGGGCTGCCAGAAACTGGAAAAAGTGCAGCACCGGTCCCATTTCCTTCTTCATGGTGAGTGTGGGGCTGCTCTGTTCCATCCCAGCCCAGGGAGGTGCACTCAGGTGGGTCCACATCTCTGTCCTGTTGTCAGCATGAAATGCTGAGATCCTCTGCATCCTCCTGAAAGTAACTGTGAAATACACAGAGATAAATTTGGCCCTGAAATGCCATTCATCTGCTAGGAATTTTGTAGTCAAAGCTCCATCTTGGCTTTTTAGTGACAGGATGTCTTGTTTAAACACAGAAACATTCTATCATCAATGAGCAAAACTATTTCAGCAGGCAGTCATACTATGACTCCGAAGGCTGTTGCAAGTATGAATTATTTTGATGGTGTGTTAAAACAGTCATTGGGATCGCACAACTTCTTAATGTCTGCAAATATCTCAACAGAGAAGAAACAAATAATGAAAATGAAGAATGTTCTGGATGCTTCACCAGATGGATACCAGCAGACTTTAAATCCCTCCTGTTCTGAGACAAAGATCAGAATTGCAAAAAGGAACTTCTGCTTGTGTGGCTGTGCTTTTTGCCTAACACCTATCACAACTTGTGCAAATCCTCTATTACATACCTTTGTATACAGACATTGAGGTCACAGCTGTAATCCAACCAAACCCAGCACAGCCGTGTAAAAAGGAAACACGTCTTTGCCACGCACTTTGTCCACTGCAGTAAACTGGAAAGTAATTCCACCTTACGAGTTAAGACAAAAAAGCAATTGGGAATTCAAGTGCAAGGGCTGCTAATCTGCCCTACTCGCTCAGCGCGTTAACAGCCAAGAGAATTAAACTACATCTAATATTCAAATGGACAGAATGAAATGAAGCGCAAAATTGGCGAGCAAATAGAACTCGGCTCCTCCAGCTCCGCTCACCGATCTCAGTGCGTGCAATCCCGCACCGGGAACCGCTCCGGCCCCGCTGGAAACGAGCTGCTGCCACCTGCCGGCTGCACGGCCCCGGGCCCTCTGCCCTCCTGCAAAACTCGGAATAGCTGGGGGAAAAAAAAAAAATGAAATTAACAATCAGAAGGTAGGAATGCAGTAAAAACTCGCCGAGAAATAAATGATGCCTTTAGCTTCTGGATTGGTTCGCATCGCTGGGGCTTTTGGATGAGTGCGTATGTGTTTGGATGTATGGTGTTTTGTTGTTGGACAAAAGGGTGTGAAAACTAAGCAGCAGTACTGCTGCACGTGAGAAACAAAGGTGTTCTGGAACAGCCCAAACAAGTTATGGTGCACAGTGCTGAACAGCTGAACAAGGGGACTGCCCCAACAGAGTCCTCTGATCAGAAAACTGAGATTATGTTTATTTGTAAACATGCAAACCTCAGTCAAAGAAATGAATCCTGCTGCACCTCCCTTCCCTTCCCTTCCCCTTCCCCTTCCCCTTCCCCTTCCCCCTCTTAATGTTTAAGCCCTTGATTTTTTCTTATTTATTTGAGTTTAAAAGGCAACGATACTTTTATCTGATATGAAATCTTCTGCTGTTGGTTTCTAATAAGAAATTTGGATACCATGTGTTACTGCCTTGCATACTTTGAGCAACTCCTGACGTTACAAGGGAGATGTTCTCCACTAGGGACCTGAGGGATGTGAGCAGTGCACCATCCCCTTCCTGTGCCAAACTCCTCCAAAACAACCAAGCTGTTGGATTTAAGCAGGTTAAGCTTCTTGAATCACACCTTGCACAGAAGCTTGTATTACTGCTAGGTTTATATAGCTTTGCTATAAATGTATAAACCTGAATCACTGAGGTTAGAACAGCAAAATTCCTGCAAACAGATGAGAAAACACACAAAGGAACAACATGGTGAGCGTGGCTTTTCCCCTGCCCTTCAGCCTGAAGCAAGCAGTGTTTTCACAGCAGTTGGTGCAGAGAGAGCTCCCCCTCCTGTCAAAAATCACCTTGAGCCCCTATCCACCCCTGGGAGCCTTCCAGCGCTGACAGGAATGGGGCCATTGGTAACGTCAGCTACCAGACATGCTAAATTATCAGTGGATATAGAAACAGAGCATTGAGTGTTTTTTACATATCTCTTATTATTTTCAGTTGCTTAACCAAACAGAAAACTTATTCCTGTCAATGGAAACCATCCAGCATGCAAACGTTCATCTCAGTGCCTGTAGTTTCACTAAAAGAGCCCCCCAAAAGCCCCAGGATTACCTTATCGCCTGCTGCAAGGTAATCAGCATCTGACAGCTTTCACCTTGGAATCTCACCCAGCATTTGCACAATATAGAAGAGTCTCCTATAAATAGAGAAAAGGCTCATTATAAGTAAAGGCAGCGAACTCAGAATGGTCTGAAAACTAATTGAGATGGTACTTAACACACATATTGTAACACACACCAAGCAGCAATTGGCTGCACCTGACATTTCAACTGCTATTTATACCTTCTGAGGACTTTGCTATTTTCCACTTCTTTTTGTTTAACCTCATTTGTAAGGACTGTTAGGGGTTTTATAAAATGGAAGGTGTTTTGGTAAGAAATATTTTTAAAACCTCTGCTTCCCAAGCATGAAAAATCTCTCTGGCTTGCAAAAACATAGCAATGTATGTAAACACTGTGTCAATAGAGGAGCTGACAGCAGCAACTGGGGAGCTGTAATGCAAGGTATGCACTCCGTAGGGACTTCAAAAGGAGATGGCAGCTGCAGAAGGGCTGAAAGCAGAAATTCCTGGTGTTTTGTGTGAGGTGGAAACCCAAGAGGAGGGTGCGCCAGGGCAGGACTCAGTGGTGGATGCCCTCTGGCTCCAGACTGGAGCTCAGTGCTCTGGTGTGCAACATGCAACAGCACCCAGAGATTGCGAGCCAGCCTTGGGCACACACTGGTAGGTGGATGCTTGGGGTTTGCAAGCATTGAGTGTTGCCTTGCTACACTGCAGAGAGAGATGCAATCCTCCAGTTCCCACCAGAGCTACTGCCCCTGCTCATCAGAACACCATCCAAAAAGCACAAAGCTCTCAGCTCACACAAAGCCTTTGCCTCACGCTCCATGACCACAACCAGCTTCCCTCTGGGTAAATCCTGCCATAGCAAGTATTTTCTACACATTTTACAGTTGGGTGAACTGAGACGGGGGATGAAACTGGTTATTTGGGGCGGAGGTAGAAAGGGAGGTTTATCCTCTCACTCTTCCACCGCCACCATCAGCTCCATCTGCCCACCCGTCAGCTCACAATGCCAGGCTCCAGTGTGACTCCTATCAGTCTGCAAAGTGCTGCATGTTGATGTTTTGGTTTGATACTTGGAGAGCTCTACAGAGATATTTAATTAGACAAAATGAATTCCTTTGAGAACAACCTTCTGGCAGCACTTTGGAAAGTGCTACGAAGCTTCAGTTATTCAGATGCTTAAAAATTGGCATTAGCCACTTTCCAATTTATTTTTAAAAAGACAACCAAATCACAGCACCCCTCAAGCCAAACAATAGCTGTGGCTCGCCTGCCAGACACACTGTCAGAAGGTGAGGTGCCAGACCTCCTTAGAAGCTACTTCCCATAGCTGCCAAGCCCCTCATTCGCTGCTGTCACCAAAGGTTTCCCTTTTGCTGACGTTGTCCTCTGGCCGCTTCGCTCTCTGTCCTTTTTTGCTGCAGCACATCCTGAGTGATGATGCCATGGTGCTGATGGGACACGACAAGCAAACGTGCAGAACAGCATCAGTTGGTCTCTGGCATCCAAATGTCAGCAGTCCCTCTCTGTCTCATTCAAACATGGATGGAAAGGAAGGATACACATAAGTGAAAGCAGACAGGCACGGGGAATTGTGAGTGCAGACACTCTGGAGGCCACATCTCACTGCCAACTTGTCACCTTCCTAGTGATGGAGGACTCTGGTGACAACCAGCAAGGAATGGCACGGTGATGAGCATGAACGACCACCTATATACTCAGGCTGCTTGGGTTCATTTACACCTGGGATAAGATCACTGGGGGCCATGTGAAATTGCGCGTCCTCTGGCTGTAACCACTTCTCAAAGCAGGATCTAGTCATATCAGAATCAGAGAAGGGCTTGGGTTGGAAGAGACATTAAGGATCACTGTGCTCCAACCTGCTGCCATGGGCTGGGTGCCACCTGCCAGCTCAGACTGCCCAGAGCCCCAACCAACCTGGCTTTGAGCACCTCCAGGGATGGGGCATCGTCTTCTTTCTCTTTTTCTCCCTTTCCACACAAGTTGCACAGAGGGCTCTGGGTTTCTGCGCTTCCTTTTCAGCCGTGGCTTTTTGATGCCTGCATCGTCGCCAACCCCTGTGCCAATGAAATGCTCCCTTTTGAGGTGATGCCAGCACTCCTGTCCTTGGCACCATTTACACTTCGCTGTGGGAAGCGAAGGGTGGGACAGCACCAAAAGCTGCAGTGCTCAGCCCCCTACTGGCACAGCCTGAGCAATGCAGCAGTAACAAAGGGATGCGCGATGTCTGTTTCATTCAGTCTCCTCAGTTCCTTTAAATTCTCTCCAAAGTAAATGAGGGTTTATAGAGACCTTAAAAAAATCCACTCGTATCAAGCCGTAAAGGAAGAAGGAATCTATATTTAAGCACTTACTTAGGGAATGTCTGCAGAGCTCTCTGCAAATGGGATGGTGCTGGAAACGTAAGGGGTTAGTGTTAAACATAGCTGTGTACACTCCCTCGGCCACCCGAACTGCTGAAAAACCTCCTAGCAGGTGATCACAAGGCTTTCTATAATTGAAATGAACTTAATCCTGACAAAAATGTAGCAGCAGCTGCTATGAGAGCTGTGGCTGCTGTCCAAGTATTTCCCACATTGTTCTGTTCTGGATATTGAAAAGGGGCTGATGGCTGTGTTGCAGGCTCCTGCCACAGAGCGTCTCTGACAAGAAAGCTGTTGTGGTTTAGATTTAAGGCCTTTGTTGTATTTTTTAACAGGAACACTTTTCTCTTGTGTGGGGATTACCATGCAAAGATCTGAGTCGCTCAGGTATTAATTACTTATGGCCTGCAACAACACTCTAAATCAGAAGTAAAATATAGATATTCTCTCTCATATAAACATATATTAATGCTATAGTAACACATGTAGGCAGTTGTGTACATATATATTAATATGGTGAGATATCAAGCTTGATATCTCACAGATAAAGGCAACAGAGCTTGTAAGTGCAGGGAACACATTGATGGGACCTATCGACATCCCTGGTGTCCTCAGATTTGGAGTCTGCGTCTGCACATGGTCTCTTTCCCTTTCCCCACTGTGCTGCCAGCACTGTGCCCACAGCTGCTCGAAGGAGCTCCCGCTGTGTGCCACAGCCCTGCTGTCTTCCTGCTCTGCAGACCTGCACCCACATCTCCTGTCTCAGCTCAATGGTTCAGGCTCCCAGCGTGGAAAACATTAGCTCCATCTTTTTCAAACTCTCCTTTTGCCCTGAGCTAGCCAAGACAACACTCACTCACTTTGTGTGATGTCCAAGGCTGTTCAAAGGGCAGAACAGAAGATGGTGCTGCCGAGCCAACATGTTTTAACAAGAAAACTTCCTTGGAGTCATTTCTTGACAGCTCCTGTTCCAAAATAACCTTGTTTAAAGTTGTCAAGGAGATAAGTTTGAGAAGCACAAGAGCTAGAGAGAAACATCCCACAGCCACTACTGTCGCAGGGCAGAGATGCAGTGAAATATTGATGGACCAACCTCCCTCATCTCCTACTGAGGGGCTAGCTTGAATTCCAGAACATTCTTGCTCTGTATACAGCACCGCTGGGATAAAGCTACATGGGCAATTGGTTTGGGATGTGTATGGCTGATGAACAGGCGTCAGTTAGACAGCATTGTGGGAGCTAAGGAAATGTTCTGTACAAAACATATCACCTCCAGGTATCATCGGTGCTGGCTCCTGGAGTTTAATCCTCTTCTCTGCAGCTGCCTGTGCGGCCCCACTTCTCCATGTAAAACAACAGGAGCAGCACAAAGAACAAAAGAACTTTTGATCGTCAAATGGGGCAAAACGACATCAAGCTCTCGGGCTGTATTTTTTTTTTTCTTATTAAGACTTATGTTATTCAAAATACAGGCATGCAAAAGTAAGGCAAATAATTTCCACCCACATGTTGGCAGCTACAAACTCTATAGAGAAATTTTAGCTCAAACTGAGAGCAGTAATAGGAAGCTTCTTTGGTTTTCAAATCCAGGATACTCTCCTACCTCCGTAGTTCACCTTCCCTCCAACCAGACTGCAGATGAGAACAAGCAAAACTACTGAGTATCAGTAGAAAGGCTGCTTATTAGACTCACCGGTTCCAGGAGGTTTGATGGAAAGAAACATCCTAAATTCAGATGCCTCTTCAAAATCCAATTTACTTGGCAGCTGTAAATGAAGTGGCTGTAAAAGAAG